GGCGCGGGTCCGGCTGCGGGACAGCTCGCTGGCCCAGCTGCGAGGGAGGGCACCGAGGGGTGCTGAGCCGGGCGATGGAGCCGAGCTGGGCGACGGAGCCGAGCTGCTCACCCAGGCAGTTGGTGAGGCAGCTGCCCTGGCACCTCCACTGCCAGCGGTGGCTTTGAACGCACATGCCAGCTCCGTAACGCGGTCCTCCTGCACTCCCTCCCCGCAGGCTTCGTGGAGTGGCTGCTGCAGCTCAGCGTCTCCTCGCTCTCTCCGGGCTCCAACTACCAGAGGAAGAAGACGGCTCTGCTCCTCCTGGCTGCAGTCTTGGAGACCTGCACGGACACCTGGAGCCCCGAGCGGAAGAAGGGGCAGCCTCCGCGTGAGTAGGAGCCACGAGCCCAGCACATCACCCCTTGGCTACTTTCCGTTTGCACCTTGCTCAAGGCCAGACCTCGGCCACCGCCTCCGTGTCCCCGCAGAGACCATGGCTGCGCTGCTGAGCTACGCCAGGCACCGAGGCTGCTGGGACTTCTTCTCGCAGCCCAATCTGTTGGCGCTGCTGAGCTGCTTACAGGACAGCACAAATGAGGTGAGCATCCCGCGGGCCCATCACGTCCCCGTCCCATAGCCCCAGCTGGGCAGGGGTGGCCGGAGGCGGTGAGAGGCCACCCGGGAGAGCAGCTAGAGCATCTCCCCGACAGCCGTGCTCACACCTCCTGTGTCTGCCTCTGCTCGAGCTAACACTCCCCGTTATGCTGCGCTGTCTCGACAGATCAGGGATTTGGCCTCGGAACTGCTCGTCCGCTACTTCCCAGCGCCGTTGCCTGAGCCCGTGGCCCTGGCTCTGTTCCAGCTCGCCCAAGAAGCCCTGAGCAGCCCCCGAGTGCAGGAGGCTGAAGCTGGAGCCGTGCTGATGAAGACAATCCTGCAGAAGTATGACCTTGCAGCCCCCGCTCCCTGGGGCACGGCAGTCCTCAAGCCCCAGGAGGGGGTCAGCAGTGCTGGTCCCTTACTTTAACACCTCTGGGCTGACTGCAGCCACGGTGGTTTGGGTTTGAAATAGCCTTTTAGCAATGTTGGCCGGTGGTAGCATTGGATAAGGTTGGGGTGCAGGCCCCAAGCTGTGGGAGGAAGGCTCATCCCAGCACACATCAAGCAGAAAACTCCCTTGTGCTTGCAGCAAGGTCAGTGTTTGCCTCTTCCTCCAGGTCGGACAGCAGCACCGTGAGGAGCCTGCCCCTGGAGGCCGGAGCAGCCCCGACGCTGCAGCCCCGAGGGCTGTGCTTCGCTCAGCACCTTCTCCACGTGCTGCAGGCCCAGTACGCTGCGGCGCGCCAGGACTTGCTGCAGGCAGCAGCCACTAAGCCGATGCACGGTACGTCCCCAGCCTTGCAGAGGGAGCAAGTGATTCCCACAGCAAGTCTCTCCTTCCCATGGTTTTGGAGCAGACAGGTATCGTACAGGCAGACCTGAGGCTACAAGTCCATGCCGACGCTGTCACCCTGCCTCAGTTTCCCTGTACGGTTTTTGGCTGCCCACCAGCCTGCCCTTGATCTAAGGACCCTCCTTCCCCCGCTTCCCACGGGGGACCCTTCTGGGGTCGCTCCCACTGCCGCTGTAACCGGAGTGCGGTGTCTGCCCAGGAGCGATCGCAGCCCTGCGGAGGTGCCTGCTGCAGGTGCCGGAGGTGGCCGCCTCCATGCGGGCGGCAGAGTGGGCGCAGAGCTGGCAGGAGCTCCTTACCAGCCTTGTGGCCACGGCGAGGGACATCACCTCCTTCCTCCTGGGTGCCCTGCAGAGCCAGCAGGGCCCCGGCACCGACCAACAAGGTGAGCACGTCCCTGAAAGGGAGCCGCAGCCAGCCTTGGGAACCCCTCATACCTGCGTCACAGAGGTCCTCGACCCAGCCGTGAGCTAGAGAGAGGCTCTGCCCATTGCTGCTGCCCCAGCAGACCCCCTGGTCTGGCCCTCGCTTTGGGCTGGCTCCTCCAGCAGCAGGGGACCACAGAGGGACACAGTGGGGAGGGCTGGCCCGGGGACAGAGCGGGATGCCCAGGAGCAGGAGCCAAGGGAGCCAGGCAGCTAGCAGCCATTTTCAGGTGCCTTTCTCAACTACCTGAGAACAGAAGTAGAGGTAGAAACAATTGCCTTTAAAAAGGAGCAAGACGCTTGCAAAAAAATCAAAGTAACTGGAAGAGCAGGGGCTGGAGGTGTCCTTACAGCAACAGTTTGGGAAGGGCAGGGGTGAGCAACGTGACCACTGTTCTCCTGTGGGCCACGTGGTGAGGGGGGAAACCTCTGCCACGCATGTGCACTCTGCACAGGTCATGGCAGGCCTTGTCCCCAGCCCCCTGTGCTGCCACGTCCCCCTCCCTGGGCCCGCGCTCCCCGCGGGCTCTGCCCGGCCCAGCTCAGCAGCACCTGCCTGGCTGCAGCCTCACACCCCTCGGACTGGGTTTCTGTCTTTTGCAGCCACTGCCCCATCATTTGCGGACATGGGGAACGCAATCGGCTCCCTCATCATGCTGGGGAAAGGCCAAGGGCAGCAGGAGGACGACTCAGTCCTGCTGTCAGAGGAGCACAGCCTGATCCTGACCTGCTGCTGGGTGTCGGTGAAGGTACGAGCGTGCCCAGGGCACCAGGAGGAGGCACGTGCCCCGGCCAGCAGAGAGGGGCAGCCCAGCGCGCCCCCAGCTGTCCCCTTGGGGCATTCCCCAACCCTGCTCCCTGTGACGAGCACGGGGGATCCCCATCCCATACCTTGGGGTTGCCTACAGGCATCTCCAGCATCCTTTCCCCTCCACAGGGGGGTACAACAGCCCCCTCACCTCCATCACCTCTCCCCAGAGGATCCTGCCTCCCGCTCTCCCCTTACGTAGCGCAGCTGGTTCCCTGGGCGCCGATAGAGCCCAGCTGTGTCATGGCTGGGCTCCCCCGCTGCCTGCAGCCCGCGGCCCCGCCGGCTCCTCTCCGCCACTGCAGCGCACAGCTGCCTGATAGCGTGTCGTGCCGCAGAGCTTCTGTGCGTGCTCTTGGGCATCGCCGCCGCCTCGGGCTGCGACCTCCAACAGCGCTGCAAACTGAGCCTCTTTGCTCCGAGGCAACGGCAGCATTCACTGTGCTTCCCAGCCATGTGGGGCAGGACGGAAATTTGGGGCAGCCCTGCTGCCGTCAGCACAGCCTTGTCGCTTGAGATCATTTGAGCCCCTGGAGCAGCAAAGCCCGGGGCTGAGAGGCTGCGGTGGCTTGCTGAGAGCTGCGGGGGCCAGGCTGGGCTGAGGAGGTCATTTGGGAAGGTCGGAAAGGGTCTGGTGTCCCCCTGAGCATCATGTGGCTGCAACTGAGCGCGAGTCCAAGCTGCGTCCGAGAGCAAGCGATGACCACGCAGGCTGGCCCTCCTTGCTGCAGCAGGGCTCTGCTTCTGCCGCCACGGCTGCAAATGCCCCCGACTTCTCAGGGACTGCAAATATCAGCGGTCAATCCGCAAGGTCAGACACAAGGACCAGTCCTTGGCCCCTTGCAAGGCAGCTTTCACCAAGGTCACCCTGCACAGAGCAGGGCTGCAAGGATAAATCGTCCATCTGTTGCACACGGGCAGGAAGGCCAAATGGTGGCAGCTTCAGTGGCTGGTGTCCCATCGGGTCCCATCGGGTCTGCTGCCAGGGAGCCCATCATGCGCCAAATCGAGCGTGCCGCGTGCCTCCAGCATGCACAGCCTGGGGCCAGGGGGATCGTCCCAGCGGCACCGGCTTTTCCCCCAACCTTTGGCTTTCTCTCAGGAAATAGGGCTGCTCTTGGGAGGCCTGGTGGAGCTGCTGCTGTCCCCGGCACCCGCCGGGCCCGGGCCCCTGCTGCCGCTCGCCCGCCTGCAGACGGCCG